TTACTTTTGCAAAATTTACAAAATTCTGTGAAAGCTTATGTCCAAGTGGACCTATTACTAAGCTCCATCACAGGAGCCTGTCCAACTGAAGGGGCCTGAAGTTTATGCGTCATTAGCTTCACAGTCTTCCCTGCAGCTATCATGGACGGAAACTAACCACCAGAGCACAAGGGAAACTGCAGAGGTATCTCCAGGTAGCTAAACTGCAGAGTCCACGAGGGAGGATAACAGCACGTGGTATGGCACAGTCAGGACAGCGACAGCATGTGGAGCACTGACAGACGGGGCCCCCATGCCCACTGGCCAAGACCAAGACTGGACAGGACACCTAATGAGGGTGGAATCACACACAGTGGATGGAGAAATAGCCTTGTAAAATATCGGGGCTATGCAGAGGGGCATTAAATGATGTTGATATATTATTTCATTTAATCTTCCCATTCCCAGAGGGACATTGTATGATAATCCTGAATTTCCAAATGAGAAGATTGAGGTAAAGAGAGGTTGGTTTGCTTAAGTAGGAAGCTTATAGCCAGGGCTTTTTTATTTCCAGGCTTCCATTGCCTCTCACGCTTTGTGGCCTGTCAAAGTCAAGTTAGTGCATGAACCTCAGTGACACAGAACTGAGAAACAAGGTCACCTATTTGAAGTTTACCTACTTGTATGTGGTTTGTTCTCTGATCATTCCAATGCTATGGTGAAGTACTCCTTGAAATATTTGCAATCAGAGACAGATCTGATGTGTTACAGCTAGGTTCCAACTATTATAGATCATCACCATTTTCCAAGTATAAAATCAGAAGGCTGCACATATTAAGAAATGCTGAAGGAACAAAGTATGTTTGGCTTCCTGCATGATACACATTTGTGAACTTTTACAACAAAAAGCCTAATTTTTCTTCCAGTAAAGAAAAAAAAAAACTTTTTTTTTTTTTTAAAGACAGAGTCACCCACGCTGGAGTGCAATGGTGAGATCTCGGCTCACTACAACATCTGCCTCCCAGGTTCAAGGAATTCTCCTGCCTCAGCCTCCTGAGTAGCTGGGCTTACAGGTGTACACCACCATGCCTGGCTAATTTTTTTGTATTTTTAGTAGAGATGGAGTATCACCATATTGGCCAGGCTGGTCTCAAATTCCTGGCCTCAGGTGATCCACCTGCCTCAGCCTCCCAAAGTGCTGGAATTACAGGCCTGAGCCACTGCACCCTGCCCCAATAAAGAAAATTTTTTCCTTTTGAATTAAAAATACTTTTATCAAGGTTGATGGATGCAAAATCAACATATAAAATCAATCTCTTTTATGCCAGCAATATACAGTCAGAAAATATAATTACTAGAAACTTCTCATTTCTAATTATAATGGAAATTTACATGTAAGAATATAACAAAAAACATGTACAACCTTTATGGAGAAAATTATACTTCATTAAAAGATATTAATGATAACCCAAGTAAATGGAGAGAGATAACCCGTGATAACGGATAGAAGAGTCAATACCAGAAAAAAGAGTGAATTTTCCCCAACTTAATCTAAAAATTCAACCCCTTCCAGTTGAAAGCATAATAGGCAGTTTCAGTAGAATCAGGGGGGATGTGGGCTTCTAGGTTTCTGGTCAGCAGCAGAAATGTGGTTTCAGCCCGAGCAGTGAAAGCAGAAAGTGCAGGCTTACGGGCTCCCAACCCAGCCATGGTAGTGGCTTCCTGATCTCTAGGTAACTTCTCCATTTTGTTCCACCAGTTTTTCCTACACTTTTATAACTAACTATGCATGAAATTCTTCTCTGTTTGAATTATTTCCAGTGGTTTCTGTTTTCCTGACTAGACGTTGACTGATACAGTCACATATATGTAGATGTCATGATCTGAAAATTCATATGTTGAAGCCCTACCCCCCATCAATGTGATGGTATTGGAAGATGGGACTTTGGGGAGGTAATTAGAGTTAGATGAGGTCCTGAGGGTGGGGCCCTTGTACAGGATTAGTGCCCTTATGATAAGAGACACACCAGAGAGCTTGCTCTCTCTCCACATCTGTGCACACAAAGAAATGGTCCCGTGAGCACACAGTGAGATAGCAGTCAACTAAAAGTCAAGAGAAAAAGCCTTAGAATAAAACCTACTTTTCTGCCACATTAATGTTGGACTTCCCAGCCTCTAGAGCTGTAAGAAATACATTTCTGTTGTTTAAGCTGACCAGTTTGTGGTATTTTTTGAATAGCAGCCCAAACTGACAAAGACATTGGGCAATAAAAATGTAAAGAAATGCCTCAACATTCATATGTTGAAATCTCAACCCTCAGAATGCCACCATATATGGAGTTGAGGTCTTCAAATGGTGATTAAGTTAAAATGAGGTCATTGGAGTGGAGCCCTAATCCAATATGACAGATGGTCTTAAAAGGAGAGGGAAAGATACCAGCCAGGGGTGTGTATACACAAACAGATGACCATGTTAAAAGACAGCAGGAGGGCAACCAGCTGTTAGCCAGAGAGGTGTTGGAGGAAACCAACCGTGCCAGCACCATGATCCGGAACTTCCAGCCTTCAGAACTATGAAGAAATAATTTCTGTTGTTTAAGCCAGTCAGTCTGTGGTATTTTGCTATGATCACCTCAGCAAACTAACAGAATATAAAAGTAAAGTCAAGAAAGTGTTGCCAGGCCTGGTGTCTCACACCTGTGTAATCCCAGCACTTTGGAAGGCCAAGACAGGTGGATTACCTGAGCTCAGGAGTTTGAGACTAGCCTGAGCAACATGGTGAAATCCTGTCAAAAAATACAAATTCTACAAAGAAATACAAAAATTAGCTGGACATGATGGCAGGTGCCTGCAGTCCCAGCTACTCGGGAGGTTGAGGTGGGAGGATCGCTTGAGTTCAGGAGGCAGAAGTTGCAGTAAGCCCACTGTGTTACAGTCCGGGGATAGAGCCAGATCTTGTCTCAAAAAAGGAAAGAAAGAAAGTATCAAATGTTAACTAAGAGGAAAAATTTTAATGGCAGTAGAAAAATAGGCTGAAGGAAAAGAAAAAGAGACAAAATAAGAAATGAGAGAAAGGTTCAAGAAATATCTTCCTCCTTTTTCTCCATAAACTCCTATATATGTTATTTTCTTTTATAAAGGGAGAAAAGTTTTTGGCTTTATTTTTCCTTTGTTAATGGAAAGACCAAGTGAAGAACTAAGCAATTACCCAGGGAACTAAACTCATATAAAAAGTCAATAATTCAGGTTAAATCCCTCCTTTTTTTCCCCTTGGCAATGCTTTTTAAACTCACAACATCTATATAACTGCCTTCTTTTACTTGCCTCTGCAGATAATGCTAATATTTCACCAATTCAAATGCAGGACATAAGATATACCACCCTACAGCAAAATCTCAAAAGCAACGAAAAAAATAATGAACTTATGATGAAACCACAGTAAGGAAAAACCCAAAACCTATGGGAAACTGACTGTAAATCTGAAATGCATTCTTCCACAGATAAGATGATGACATAATTTGCAGTTGAAGTGTCCAGGATATTAATGTTTTTGAAAGACTATGGTTTAAAGTAGAGTTGGGAAAAAATGTATAGTAGACAGACAAAAGAGTAAAGTCTTCATGTGAATTATTTTTTTAAAGGCAAGAATACTTACAAACATTTTTACACTGGCAACAAATCCAGGTGGTACTTAAAGTCAGTTTCCTGGATGATCTGACAACTGAAAAAGGTTGCAGTGGGTTAAAAAGTCACAGGCTCTCTGGGCTGTAAAGGAGACTTACAGGGAGAATTTGGTAACTTTGGGACAATAAGGACACCAGACTAGAAAGCTCACTCTTGGACGCTGGCAGGTATGTGTCCCTTATCTGGACCAAACACAAGCACGACTGTCTGGACATTCAAGTCTTCTTGGCTCAAGGTTCTGGGAAGTGTGGAGATAAGGAAGAGAGATCAGCCTGTTACTGTGTCTATATAGAAAGAAGTAGACATAAGAGACTCCATTTTGTTCTGTATTTGAGATGCTGTAAATCTGTGACCCTACCCCCGACCTTGTCCTTGCAAGAGACATGTGCTGCGGTGACTCAAGGTTTAATGGATTTTGGGCTGTGCAGGATGTGTCTTTGTTAAACAAGTGCCTGAAGGCAGCTTGCTGGTTAAAAGTTATCACCATTCTCTTAATTTCAACTACCCAGGGACACGTACACGGCCAAAGGTCGCAGGGACCTCTGCCTAGGAAAGCTAGGTGTTGTCTAAGGTTTCTCCCCATGTGATAAGACTGAAACAATGCTGCTAAAAGGTTTATGGAAATGTTTCCATATGCATCTCAAGGCACAGCATTTTCCTTTAAACTTATTCAGGTCACAGAGGTTTTTGTTCATATGTCTTACTGCCGATTTCCTCTTTTTCTTTGATCCTATTGTCCTGCCACTCCCTTGTCTTTAAGATGGTAAAGATAATTATCAATAAATACTAAGGGAACTCAGAGACCGGGGCCGGCGTGGGTCCTCTGTAAGCTGAGCGCCGGTCCCCTGGGTCCCCGCTTTTCTTTCTCTATACTTTGTCTCTGTGTCTTATTTCTTTTCTCAAGTCTCTCGTTCCACCTTACAAGAAACACCCACAGGTGTGGAGGGGCAGGCCACCCCTTCAGGAAGCAAGACATCATTTTCGTAGCTCTAATTTTTTTATGGTTTAATTGTGAAGGCAAGCATTTTTTGAGAGGGCATTTCTAGATAACACTTGTTTTTAGCGCTATGATTTTCATAAGAGGGAAAAAAATATCACAAATAGAATCTGCAAGGAGCTTTGTCAAAACAAAAGCATTCTCACATTCCCCCTTCTTTTGGGAAGCCGTGGAGGGGTGCCACTGGCGGGATAGAAATAGGTGAACTCCCTCCGGCATGCATGGTAGGGGGTGGTGGAGAAAGGTTGAGAATCAACAACATAGAAAAGCAAATGCGGAAAAATGTTTTTGCAGCAATAAGAAAGCAGTTTTTAAAAATGAGAATTTTCACCTTAGTTTTTATTTCTTTTATAACACATTTGCTTTAAAATTTTCTTACAAAATTTATTAAAAAGACATATAAACAACATATGGGAGATGAGAATAAGATTCCTCTAACACAAAGGCATTAGGGTAAATAATATTTCAGGTGCTAGACAGCACGCATGGCACATTTATTCACCCAAGACCAGAATCCCTGGGGGTAATCACTTCTGTTTTTTCCAGCCCACTATTATTAGTTGTGGGAAGTAATTTGCTTGAATTGCTTTCATTCTCTGACTCCAGTTGTGCAGCCTCCTCCCAAGTAGTTGCCAGCTGTTTCCCAAGGGTTTCTGGAAGCTTTAGTGTTAACACTCCACTCAGGAAGGCCATAGTCCCAACAAACAACTAGAAGGAATTAAAAATAATGATAAGTGACACATCAAGAAAGGAACACACCCTTCGGAGAACAGAATTTCCTAACTGTTTTCAGAGGGTAATGCAATTGAATTTGACATAGCAGTTGTCACTGTGATTACTCAGTGAGACCTTTGGTTACTTGTGCTGGACTTCGAGTTCTTTTCCTCACCAATGAGGCTTAATCTCATCACTCACTCATTCATTCATTCATGAGCCACTGTGGAGCGCCTACTCAATTGCCAACTACTGTCTGCATTATTACGCCTGAAGGCGCTGTCCTAGGAGCTGTGGTCACAAAGAAAAAAAGACCCTTGCCCCATCTTTCCAGACCCCAGAGTCTTGCGGAGGAGACAAGCAACTGAGCCCTGGGTTAGGACATGCCACGCGTGTCTTAGTCAACCCTGTCCCTGCCCCAATAATCAGTACACTATCAGAGTTCAGTAAGTGATAGGGAATGAATGAATGAAAACAGGTTTCAATCAACCAGAATCTATGGAATTTGGGGGAAGCTAACCAAAGGCAGTGAAAACAAATTGCCACTTTATGGGGGAGGGATCCATATAATTTCCTATACAGTTCGGTATGATTTCTTTATTTTCCAGGTTTTGACACATAAAAGGCAGCCTTTTAGACTAGCACCAAGGCATTTGCTTTTAAAAATGCAGGTCATATTAAAAATTAAAGTCTGCATATCTATTCTCTGTTTATCATCATGAAGATGCTGGGTGGTTTTTATTAACAGAGCTAAATCTCATGCAATCTGTAAAAACACAATCCATCCTTACTTAATTTAAACTCCTTTAGCAAAATATATTTGCTGGAAAGACCCTACAAAAATAAATTAAGGTATGGCTTTTCTCATAAATCTACACACTTGGTATGTTTATAGCATCTGAGAATGAGAATCATAAAATACATACAGCAAATGTGAAACGATGCCAGATCACATCCATAACAGACGAGACTTGGGAAGGCAGTCTTTTATTTTGTTTTGCAGAGCACTGATAACCTAATTCTTAGAAATATATGAGTAAGCTTAACCCAGAAGCAGTAGCGGAATTACAAGTGACATTCCAAAGGAATTTAAAAGACGTTTTCTGGTCTCTCAAGACATGGCATGTATATCCAGTGATCTAGAAACCCCAGAAGAGCCCTAAGTCAGGGTCTGAAAAACACTGAGTAAGTCTAAAAGCAAAATAGAATCAAATGGAAGATCCAGAACAGAATGGAATTTTTCTTCTTAGCTTGGTAGTAAGACTAGTCAGACAGTAAACAAATCATACCTCTCCACCTCCTCCTCACTCCTGCTCCCCTGACAGCTCCCCACAAGCCCACAAACCCCAAACCAAACATCGAAATAAGTCCCCCCTTTCCCACCCCTCCCTCCTCCGGCCAGGTGGATCCTTTTACGCTCTCCAGACCCTATCGCCTCTCACCTCCTCCTCAGAGATCTCCCTCCATCCATGGTCCAACCTCCTTCTCACATATTTTTGACCTTTTCCTTTCTGCTGGCTATTTTCTCTCAACAAAAAGTTCTCAAAGGGTCAGGCATAGTGGCTCATGCCTATAATCCCAGCATTTCGGGAGGCTTGAGGTGGTGGATCACCTGAGGTCAGGAGTTTGAGACTAGCCTGGCCAACATGGTGAAACTCCGTCTCTACTAAAATTACAAAATTAGCTGAGTGAGGTGGCCCATGCCTGTAATCCCAGCTACTTGGGAGGCTGAGGCACAAGAATAGCTAGAACCCAGGAGGCGGAGGTTGCCATGAGCCAAGATCCCGCCACTGCACTCCAGCCTGGGCGACAAGAGTGAAACTCCATCTCAAAAAAAAAAAAAAAAAAAAAAAAACAGTTCTCAAAGTCTGGGTGCAGTGGTTTACACTTGTAATCCCAGCACTTTGGGAGGCTAAGTCTGGCGGATCTCTTGAAGTCAGGAGGTCGAGACCAGCCTGGGCAATATGGTGAAACTCTCTAAGAAAAATACAAAAATTAGCCAGGTGTGGTGGCATGTGCCTGTGGTCCTAGCTACTTGGGAGGCTGAGGTGGGAGAATTGCTTGAGCCCAGGAGGCAGAGGTTGCAGTGAGCTAAGATTGCGCCATTGCACTCCAACCTCAGTGACAGAGACCTGGTCTCAAAAAAATAAAAAATAAAAATAAAAATTAAAAAGTAAGGAAAAAGAAATGTTCTTGACCCATTTATAATCTCCATATGCACATTGCCTGGGTACTTGCCACCTGCTACCTGTGTGGCCTTGGACAAGTTACTTAACCTCTCTGCTCCTCAGAGTCCTTTTCTGTAAAATGGATGAAAGGATAGTATCTGTTGCAAACGACTGTTGAGAGGATGAAATTAAATGTAAGCTCTCATTACTGTGTGTGTATATATATGCAGCATATATATATATACACATATATGCAGTGTGTGTATATATATATATGCAGTGTGTATATATATATATTCTTAGCTTGGTAGTAAGACTAATCAGGCAGTCAGGTTCAAGTGATTCTTCTGCCTCAGCCTCCCGAGTAGCAGTGACTACAGGCACATACCACCACATCTGGCTAATTGTTGTATTTTTAGTAGAGATGGGGTGTCACCATATTGGCCAGGCTGGTCTCCAACTCCTGACCTTGTGATCTGCCCACCTCGGCCTCCCAAAGTGCTGGGATTACAGGTGTGAGCCATCGCTCCTGCCTTACTGCTATTATATATTGAAAAACAAGATGTTTCTTAATGTTCCATGATTACCACTGTTGTATCTTTTAAATCACCACATCTGGCATTTCCGCACTCCAGCCCTTCTCTTCGGGGCTGGTGATGGTTTGCTCTCCTGCCCTTCCCACCAGACTGGACGTCCCTCAAGACAGGCTATTTCTTTCATCTGCTCCTTAGCACCTAGCAGGTGGCTAGTTCAAAACCAACACTCAGTCAACGTTTGCCAAATGAGTTAATGAACACACAAAAAGCTAATTAACGTGTTCACCTTTTTTAGATTACTAGAAAATAATGCTTGATAATAAAAGCATCAGAATGAGTGATTTTTCATGTGCCTCTTTTCAAAAGAGAAAATATAAACATCTTCCAGATGAGAGTTTTCATTTCTCAAAATGAAAACACTGGCTCCCCAGGCAGTTTGACATCCATAAACAAGTTTAATGGGAAATTTGATTATTTTTTTTTGACTCATTACAAACAATAGGCAATACTCATTAGATCCAAAGGAAGCACATTCACAGACTACTCCCACAAATATACACCACACCTTGCAGCCAGAGACTGTCTTAGAGAAGGAACGGGCTACTCAGGGCCAGGCTGGACAAGGAGCTGACTGCTCTGTGCTCGTTTTTGTATAGATTGTTTGTTGGACCTTGTGTAAAAGGCAAGGGAGCATGGTATTTGGGTTCAAATCCCACCTCTGTCACCTTTAAGGTGTGTGACCCTGGGCTAATAATTACTTTCTGTCCATCAGTCTCCTCATCTGTAAAATGAAGAGAACAACAGTATCTGCATTACATGAAGACTAATTTTTGTAAAGCACTTTAAAAAAGAGCTTGTGTAGGCAGGGCATGGTGGTTTATGACTGTAATTCCAGCACTTTGGGAGGCTGAGATGGGCAGATCACCTGAGGTCAGGAGTTCGAGACCAGCTTGGCCAACATAGTGAAACCCCGTCTCTACTAAAAAATATTTAAAAAATTAGCCAGCCTTGGTGGCACATGCCTGTAATCCTACCTTCTTGGGAGGCTGAGGCAGGAGAATCGCTTGACCTGGGAGGTAGAGGTTGCAGTGAGCCAAGATCAGACCACTGTACTCCTGCCTGGTCGACAGAGCAAGACTCTGTCTCAGAAAAATAATAAAAATAAAAGGAACTTGTTTAAATATCTGTTAAATAAAATTAGAGATCCCTTCTAAGTCCATAGTCCTTAATTGAGCCTTACAGATATCCATTAAAAAATATTTATTTGGTTTTATTTTTGGTAATTAGCTTTTATAAATTTATCTATTTTATATTTGCATGTTTCAACTTATTATTTTAATAAAAACTTTTCCATTTTATCTTTTTTAAAAAAAATGAGGAAAACAAGTGCTAGTACAAAGGAGATTCTTCTAGAAAAGTTCATGACCTAAAAAGGGTGGTAGACTCTCCCAAAACACCTCCCACACAGCTCATATGGTTTCTTAACCTCAGAGTCAGCCTGAGAAAGAGGCTGGGCTCTAACACCCCAATGGCACATCCAAGTGCTTTACTGAGCGCCAGCTCCGGGGACGCAGGAGACACTCATGCCAAGTCAGCGATTCCGGAAGAGCAGTATGTGTACCTGCTGTGTGTACAAGGCAGCTCCGGGGGATGCCAAGCACTGTTTTATTACTTGTGAGATTATGTTGGTGTCTTTCAGAAAAACACATAATTAGTATAACACCTATGACCTCACTGATATTATTGTTTAGGACAAACCTGATTTCCAAAAGTCAATCTACTTGATCTAAAATAGTAGGTGAATAACAGCATGGGTGGCACACAAGCTGAGGGAAACACTCGGCTAGGGCCAGCTGTGGGGATGCAGAATGTCCTGCTCTGCAAAGCACAACAGCCTGACTGGGGCGATGAAGACACCCGTGCAAATGATAAAGCCACACTGCGACAGCAACTGTGAAAGAGGCACCCACTGAATGCTGTACAGATACACTTGAGAAAAGGAGAGGCGGGGTCACTAGATCTGGGTGGCCTCCTGGAAAGAGGATACCTGGAAGGCTACTTAACAGAAAACATGAGAGAGAAGCACTCTCTTTGGAGGGGTCGTTTGGACAGTGGCATGGAAGGGGAGGAGGCGGGGTGAGGACAGGGAGGAGAGGGGAACTCTTGCAGTGGGGGTGAGTGTGGAGAGGAGGGGAAGCTGCATGAGGAATAGAATAGGGGAGCTATTCTGTTAGGAATAGGAGAACAGGGGGTCAGTCAGGAAAGGACCTGGATAGCAGCTTAGTTTGGACTTTTATTCTGACGCTGACAGGGGCACTGGGTCATGGCCGTGGTGCCTTCTATGCTACCCAGACGGGGTGGGGATGAAGAGCAAGGAGAAGACTGGGAGGCACTGGAGCCCGGCATGCAGGGGTGGTTTTGAAGGAGAATGTGAGGATTTTGTGATGAAAAACAGGATGAATAAGAAGCGGATGCCACAGTGTCACGCTTGAAGCCACTGACCTATCCTTAACCAAAAGTGGGAGACAGGTGTCACTGGCCAGTTCTTCTTGGGAGATATTGAGTTTGTGGTGAGACATCCAGGGAGAATGTCCATGAGGCTGGAGGAAACCCGTGCCTGGAGCCGGGAGGAGAGGGGACAGGGAGGAGGCCGGGAGGAAATCCTGCAGCCTGAGTCTATCTAAGGGGCAATCAGAAAAGAGACAGGAGGCACTGGAGGGGAGGGAGAGGGAGGGTCTGCGGGCTGGCAAGTCACACCTGCCGTCCACCCATCCCGCATCTTCTTCCTGAGCAGAGGAGTCCACTAGGTGCGGCAGTGCTCACGTGCCTTCCCGGTCTCTCAGCCCCTACCTGAGGATCTGCAAACTAAGTGTCCCTGCTCTTACTCTTTGAAGCCAGGCAAATGGCTCACACTGCTGGAGCCAGAAACGGAGCCCCTCAGGTTCGGGTCAACTGAGAACCGTGGGTTCCTAACCCTCTCCATTAGGCACCACAGAATCTTTTTGGAGCAGGCAGCCCCCAGAATTCGCCTTGCCCAGCAGGAACTCAGTGGAAACACAGAGGCAAGGCCAGGCCAGGGGGTGGGGACAGGCCTGGCTTCCAGGGAAGGGTGAAGACACGCCCTTTTGTGGCAGGCAGAGTTGTAATGAACAGCTCAGCAGTGGTGGAAGGCCACCAACAGCCAATCACAAAGCAGCCACCACCCTACTCACCGACTGGCGAGCTGTTGGTAAGGGGGTTGTTTCTACAAACCCCGTTAGGAAATGATGTACTGGCTTTTGATAAATAACAACAGAGAAGTTGCTAATAGGCAATTAGAAACTGCCTCGGTGCCGCCTCGGGAAGGGTCTGCAAACTGAAGCGCACCTGTGGTATGAAGATCCAAACGCTGCTGAGGTCCACGGAGAACGGCGCCAGGATGCTGGCCAGGCGACATACCATGCTGCCGCTTCCCACAGCCAGCGACCTGGAAACAGAGGAGAGAGGCCGAGACGAGTAAGGTGCAAGTGACCCGGGATTGAGGGACCTGCTTTCTGCAGTTCCTTTCCCACCCTCCCCAACGAGGATAAGGGCGGTCAGGCACCGCATGACAACGTTTTGGTCAACCTCGGCGGCCATGAGATTATAATAGCACATTTTAACTCGACTTTTTCTATCTTCCAATATGTTTAGATACACAAATACTTACCACTGTGTTAGACTGCCTGCAGCATTCAGTACAGTAACATGCTGTGGAGGGTCACAGCCGAGGGGGAATAAGCTGTGCCACACAGCCTGGGTGTGTAGCAGGCTGGGCCATCGAGGTTTGTGTAAGTTCACTCTATGATGTTCTGACAACCACGAAATCACCAAAGGATGCATTTCTCAGAACGTATGCCCATCATTAAGCAACATATGACCATAAAAAAATGTAAGCTTGAAAATAATTTTACTGACATTTTTCAAAAATCACAATACCTACATTGTGTGAAACAGTGGTATATACAAGTGTGCACATAATTCAAGACAATTCAAGACCAAAAAAGGTAGGAGTGCGCAGGTAAGCCATTCTTCATCTGCTGTGCAGGTGAGGCCCTTATGTGTATTGATCCAGCCTAACATTGAGAATAATAAGGTCTTCTACAGCAGGAATTTGTTTCAGGTAGGGAGTGGGAATTTGAGAGAACAAAGTATCTGTATACCTGTGGACTATTCTATTTCAATTTTTTAGAGTCAAGGAATATCTTAAGGCACTTTTCTTTAAAGGTTACTTAGGGAAAGTGTATAGAATGTTAGTAAGGAAAGACTGTTCTTTTATGTGAGTAAGTACCTCTACAAATTAATGGTGCCTCATCTTTTCTGGGTCACACACATTTATAAAGAACTGATAAAAAGTATGGCATTCTTCTGAGAAAGAAATCATACGTAAGTAAAGTTTTGCATGCAGTGTTAGGGTGTTTAGGGAGCTCATAGAGTTGGTTAAAGATTTCTTGTATTAAATATTTACATATAGGATTTTTTTGAGGTCATGTACCTGAGGTTGTAAACCAACAACCAAGCCAACAGAAAAAGATCTTAAAAAATACTACAACATTCATCATTGCAATGCACATTGACACTATTTGATTGGATTGTCACCGTTTTAGCGTATAACATGCATTCACTCAGCACATGTGTGTCGAGAGTCTAATATGTGCCAGGCATTGCATGGATCTGGTCCAATCTGAATTTTGAACTAGGAAAATCTGCAGCTTTTCCTGGCTGAGCAGAAAGCCACCTGAGAGGCCAGAAGGGTCCCATAGGACATGCCAAAGATATTCTCCCTGATTTAGAGCGACTTCTTCCCTGGGTCAGCCACAAGGGAGCCAAAGCCACAATGTAAGTTTGCAATTATGCAACTTCACTCTCTATTGCATTCAACTAGTCTCCACCATTGTCAACCTGTAAGCTCTAGAATGTAATCTGTTATTCTGTCTGCTACTGTACATCTGCACAGGGCTGCCACTTTCACAATATGATCTGAGAAGAGTCCACACAGCCCTTACCCCAAAATACCTTCTTCCCCTCTGCTACTAAAGCTCTACCGCTAGCAACTCATCCCTTGCTAATGTTAAGCACTGTCTCCCATAAAAATTCTCATGTATTTCACTGGGTATCCGAAAGGGCCAAAAGATGTGGATCTGAGTTCTGATGGGTCACTGACTAGCCAGGTGCCTTTGACCATGACCCTAATCTTGTGCGAATCCCAGTTCCACAATCCGTAAAATGGACAGAAGATGTATTTATTATTAGACTGCTCTCCCAAGCACTCTGGGTGACCTAGAGAGGAAGTAGGGAGGAAGAAGAAAAACTCTACTCTCAGATAACTTGGCTAATAGACAATTACATAGGGAGTTATTCCTCTGCTATTCTATACCCCTGGTCACATATTAGTCTGATAAACTTTTTTCTTAGATATATGTGTGTACCTACTCTATCCATTCTTCCATCCATCCATCCATCCATCCATCCATCCATCCATCCATCCGTCCATCTAGATATCCATTAATCTATCTACAGCCAACACAAATGTACTTACCCATCCTTGTCCACAAGGCTGCCTGCCCTAGCATTTCAGCAGGCAGGTGTGTGGGCATGGAAAATTCCTAGGGAAGGATTTATGCTATCTCTTGACTAATGGATTTTCCAGGTCCTACATCTCTCCTGCTTGTGGAGACAAGGAGGAGGCATCTCTGGGCTGGTGTTATATGGACTTATCTCTACAGAAAGTCACTTGCCTTTCACACTTGTAACACATGACAAATAATATACTCCTAAAAGGGAAGAACCCACTAGCTGAGCAGTTAGATTTTTTAAAAAGTTTCCTGTGAAAAACCTTAATGTCTTGTTTGTTTATTTGTTGCCATTAAGATTGGGTTTTTAACAGGCTAAGAAATTATCCAAGCTCACTAACAAATTTTTTCCCTTAGAAAATGAAAACTTCTATTGATAAAGCAGGTGTTAGGAAAATGCCACTTGGAGGATTTAAGGGAGGACTGCAGATAGGAAACTATTATGGAATTTCACAGAGATCTGTGGGACAAGCATCTCTTGGCAGCAGTGTGACCCTAATCACTATTACACTTTAAAATACAGGATCATTTTGAAAAAAAGAGTCAAAAAGTCTGATGGGCCGGGCGCAGTGGCTCACACCTGTAATCCTAGCACTTTGGGAGGCCAAGGAGGGTGGATCACTTGAGGTCAGGAGTTCGAGACCAGCCTGGCCAACATGGTGAAACTCTGTCTCTACTAAAAATACAAAAATTAGCCGGGCATGGTGGTGTACACCTGTAATCTCAGCTATTCAGGAGGCTAAGGCAGGAGAATCACTTGAACCTGGGAGGTAGACGTTGCAGTGAGCCAAGATCACACCATTGCACTCCAGCCTGGGCAACAGAGTGAGACTCTGTCTCAAAAAAAAAAAAAAAAAAAAATCCCAATGGAGAATCAGAGAAAGGATCCCTTAACTTTATAGCTGGGGTCCCAGCTGTGTGTCTTGCACCAGGTACTTGATCTCCCTTATCTAGACACAGGGCTGCAACAAGAACTGTGGTTTACAAAGGATGCACTGTTAAGGCCTGGAAGTTCTGCTGCAGCCCCCTGGAGCAAGAAGGCAGGAGCACTGGGGGGATTCCAGGTACCCAACAGAGCTTCCATAAAGGACCTCTGTCCTCTTCACCACATAAAGAGTTTCCAAGTAAAATGTGTTTGGAAAAGCTTTTTAAAAGCCTGAAAGTTCCTGAGGTTCCCAGATCAGTGGGAATCACATCAGACATTCCCAAAGAGGTGGGGTGGCAACTCGAAGTCACCTGCAGACTTGTTAAAAATCCTGAGTCTCGGCCAGGTGCGGTGGCTCACCCCTGTAATCCCAACACTTTGGGAGGCCAAGGCTGGTGGATCACGAGGTCAGGAGTTCAAGACCAACCTGACCAACATGGTGAAACCCCGTCCCTACTGAAAATACAAAAATTAGCCAGGTGTAGTGGCATGCACCTGTAATCCCAGCTACTCTGGAGGCTGAGGCAAGAGAATTGTTTGAACCCAGAAGGCAGAGCTTGCAGTGAGCCGAGATCACACCACTGCACTCCAGCCTGGGCGACAGAAGGAGACTCTGTCTCGAAAAAAGAAAAAAAATAAAAATCCCGAGTCTCATTCTTGGATTGATCCAGCAGGTCTGGTGTAAGGACCCAAGACTGGTATTTTTTACGAAATGCCTCAATGACTCTGATGAGCTGCCAGCTTTGAGAACCTCCAGATGACGTAATCTCAGGGAGCCAATGATTACTGATGTTATGGGCTGAGTTGTGCCTCCCAAAGTTCAAGTGTTGAAGTCTCAACCCCTTGTACTTTATGATGTAACGGCATTTGTAGATAAGGTCTTTAAAGAGGTGATTAAGTTAAAATGAGGCTGTTAGGGTGGGGCCCTAATCCAATATGGCTGGTGTCTTATACGAAGAGGGAGGGACATCAGTGGTGCACACAGAGGTAAGACTCCTTGGGGACATACCAAGAGGGTGCCACCTGAAGACCATGGAGAGAGGCCTCAGGAGAATCCAAACCTGCCAACACCTTGTTCTTGGACTTCCAGCCTCCAGTACTGTGAGAAAATAAATTTCTATTGTTTAAGCCACCCAGCCTGTGGTATTTTGTTACAGCAGCCTACGCAGACTAACACAACTGGCATCAGAACATGGAGAGACACATCCTGAGAAATTAGTTTTGAGTCAATACAGAGACTCAGTGGACGTCTGTGGTACTTGAAACTTAAAATGTTTTTGGAATAATAGAGTAGTATTTCAAAATAATTTGTTTAATATCCTTGCTAATATGGTGCAAAGCCTCAGACTAAAAATTAGTATCAGCATGTCATTTTCCCATCTCAGAGATCCAGGTAACGTCTATGAAAAAGAAGCATTTACATTTAAAGGCCAAATACAATGAAATGACACACAAGTGAAAGACAACAGGAAAACCACCAGAAAATAATTCATCCTTACCTTACAATGGTTGGATACAGCTCAGCTGTATAAAGATAAATGAGGCCAAACGCTGCCCCAATGGCAAATTTTCCAACCATAGCTGCCACCACACCCAAAATATAATGTTTCTGAAAAAAATTTAGCAGAATAGATCATCACAACTAATATTTTTAAAGGAAAATATAAAATCTTTAAAATCACTACTTAAAACATTCTAATTCCTTCAGTATTTTTTCAGAACAATGAAGAGCCTTATTTTTCTGTTTGAATATATTAAACTCTACTCACAGTCTGAGAAAGCTTTTCATATTTATGAAACGTAGAGGAAAGTTTTAGTGTCTCTCCTCCCCATCCACTTTGGAGGGTTTGAACTGTGATAAAAGCCAGTTGGGAAGACTGTTTTGGAAGGAGACAGCCCAGATAGTGCTGGTGGCACCAAGAATTTCCCCACTCCTTCTGGAACTGATCCAGCAGAATGAATCAAGGAGTCATACAAACAAATTGTGGGCCGGGTCCAGTGGCTCACACCTGTAATCCCAGCACTTGGAGGCTAAGGCAGGAGAATAACTTGAGGCCAAGAGTTTTAGGCCAGCCAGGGCAACATAGCAAGACCCCATTTCTACAGAAAAACAAAAAAATTAGCTGTGCATGATGGTACATGCCTATGGTCCTAGCTACTGGAGAAGCTAAGGCAGGAGGATCATTTGAGCTCAGGAGTTCGAGATTATGGAGAGCTATAATCACAACACTGCACTTCAGCTTGGGTAACAGAGTGAGATCTTGTCCTTATTTAATCTATTTACTTTAGGAAAAAACAAACAAACAAAACAAATTGTGTCCTTTGTGGCAGTAATCCCTGGCTTATAAATTATCTTCAGAAAATAATTTGAAAGTGGTAACTGAACTATTAGTACAGACTTTTTGTTCATTTGTTCCTTTGTGGCTGATACATTCCTCAACAGCAAAACCTTTATCTCCACCTGGGTTTTTATTCTCCCCAGTGTGTTCCACTTCCAAAGGTAACTAACAAATACACCCTGTATTCTGAAATCTCCCTCCTCCCCCATCTGCCAGCTGGACGCTGAGACCCAGGGTGGCCTTGGGGCTGATGTGTTAAGGATGGCAGTGCCTCTGTCAGTCTGCATCCCTGAATGACTCCAGGGACCCAGACACCCACTCACCACTCCCCCTTTGGCCAGCTAGTTACAAATACATGGAACTTTCTATGAGCAGGTAACAAACATCCTTTATGTTAAGTCACTGAGATGCTGGGATGCCTCTATTAAAGAGCTAATGTCACCTTAATTACAATTGTAAATTAAATTAATTAGCAATTATTAATTAAATTAATATTTGTATTGTGTTGACTTTATCATTTGGGGGAAATTTTATTGGAAGGGAGTTATTTGTGGTTGTGGGTTAATGCTCTATTTCTAGAAATCTCCTCTTTCTCATCTTCCCTATTACTGTAGAACTCAAAGGTTCTGGTGTTCCCCAACTCTTCACCAACTTAAAGGCAGCTGTCATCTACTCAACTACCATTAACTGTAAACTACTTTTTTAAAGGTGTGGATGAAGTTCCCTCGAATTAGCAGAGACCTCCTTGTCCTGAGTAGTTTTACTGCATTCAGTTAGTTGGTATCAATCACCTGGAAATTTTGTTACATAAAATATTTGGCTCACCAATCCTAATCATTAAGTAAAGTGCTACTATAAAAGGAAGTCACTCGTTAGCTTAAATGAAATTTCAAACGATACGCAAAACTTAAAGTGCTTTGCTCTAAATGTTGCTATACTATTGCTTAATGATTATATAATCACAGGAGAACATTAAAGAAAATATTGTAAGTACTGTTACAGTGACATTTTCCAAATCAAGAATTAAAATACAGGTCTGAAAACATCTTTTTTGGGAAGAGAGGAAGCACTTCTGGATGCAAGAGGTATTTTGCGGGGATGCAGTTTGCCAAAATATAGGAATGGGAAAGTCATTTCAGGAATTTCTTGGTAGTGTTTCTCACTAAGAAACTGTTTTTAAAAACAAGCTCCTCAGGATGTGTATGCATACGAGACACTGGAAACTACTAATCTCCTGCAATGAAAAACAGTGTATTGAAACTCCAACAGTCTTGAATATCTGACTCATATCCTTCAGATGTCTCCATGGCTGTCTCCCTCATTGAGGTTTCTGATCACATGTCACCTACTCTGAGAGGCACACCATCCTCAACCACCCTAGACAAAAGAGTACACATGGGTGCCATATGCCCTCTTGTTACACTTATGGAAACTTGATGCACTGTGTGTTCCCAGCACCTGGCACATAAAAGATGGTGGATAAATGTTTGTTGAATGAATAAATGAGTGAATGTTCAGTATGATGATGCTGGAAAGTGTGATCGACTTTCCTCACACAAGATTATTTCATTTACAAAATACAACACTGGTCATCTCTGGGAATTGGGATTATGAACTTCATATTTTTTATTTTTTGAGATGAGGTCTCACTCTGTCATCCAGGCTGGAGTACAGTGGTGTGATCAGAGCTCACTGCAGCCTTGAATTCCTGAACTCAAGCCATCCTCCTACCCTCAACCTCTTGAGTTGTTGGGATTATAAGTGTGAGTAATTGCACCCAGGTTAGGTTTTTTTTTTTTTTACGTGTTTCTCCTTAAATTTTCTAAAATGAACATATATTACTTATATAACAGAAAGAGAATGTTTTAAAGAAAACATATTTTTAAATATTATATACTCTGTCCAAATCATACTCTGAATTGACCTTCATACTTAACTGTAATAATCTAAATTCTTCCCATCAAACTGTCACAGTATAACTAACAATTCCCTAAATAAAACATAAGATAACTCACGTAGGGGATCACCATAACGACACCACAGGTCAGTGCGCTGCAGAAAAGAGAGTAGGCCAGGACTGTTCTCCTCCCGACCTTGTCCATGGCGATGCACACGAAGGTGTAGGCGGGAATTTCCACTACACCTGTCATTGAGCAAGCAGCCCTCTATAAGGTTAGGCACCCGACTGCATAAGGGGACCCTGCCTTCTAACCCACTACCCAAAAGGCATGAGCAGCCCTCTCCTCACTTTCAGGGCCTTTAGAAACTCTCTAAGGATTCCTGCCAGGCAGCCAGCCCTGCCACTTTTAAACTCACTGCAGTGAAGATGAGCGTTTCCTGTGAAATGCTCTAATGCTCATAATCCTCCTCGCACCTGCAAATGGCACAAAACCAGAGCCCAAATTCCCACCAGCCCCAAACCATCTCAGGAGATAAAAACTTGTTCAAAAATTTCACAGCAGAGAACTATTGAGCAGAAGCACCCATCTGCAACAATACTAGTGGGAAGGGTACTGACGTGAAAAATCCAAAATGGTAGATAATATAAAACCATGTGTGTTTGTCTTTGGGAACATTTTTGTACTTATGAGATTGTCCAGTTTTTTGAGAATTTATGTCTTTGGCAAAAGTAAAAAACTATGTCACGAAGATCTAAACTTCTAGCCTTCCTAAGCTTCCGCAGCCACACTCCACACACCTACCATTGGCCACTCTGTTCTAGGGATACTGCACCATCTCAAATTGTCATAGAGCATGAGTTTGAAGTCAAGACAAGCTCTTTCTATAAACGTGTTAGTTTGCTTCAAAAAAAAAAAAAGTAAATCTTTTTTTCTTAAAACGACTTCTCTCATAATTCCTGCTGAGCTATAATAAACAAAAACAGATGTGTCTGCTGAGGAAATCAGAAAAAAAAAAACCAGATGTGTCATCAGAGCACCTTAATGAGATGGCACGATGTCTATGTATAAAAATTTAGAAGCAAGATGTTTCGAGGATAATATAAAATACAGGCAGCCTACATAGAAATAACCAGGAGTTAAGACTAGATGGATAAAAAGAGGTTTCTAGTATTTCTCTCACATTTTAGTTCAAATTTGGTTTATGCTAGGAGTCACATCTCAAGCTATCTAAAGTGATTTAAACTGCCATAAAATGAAACAAGTATGACAACATAAATTATAGTTGCATGTATTTAAAAGTTATTTTACCAACTAAAATTTATAAATTAAGGACACCTGAAGGTTGAGAGATGCCAGATAGCCAAGGCATATTAAATTTTAAAAGGGAAGCAACTTACAAAGAACAATATATAGTGAGTGATCTCATTTATGTTAAAATATAAAGCATTTATATGCACAAATATATGGAAATGCATAGAAACAGATCTGATCAGCACAGGACTTTTGACCTGGTTCATTTTCCACCTGGGCCAGTTCACCCCTCCTTAGGCAACCTGGTGGTTCCCTGCTCCCAGGAGGTCACCATACTGATGCTGAACTTAGTGTGGACACCTGATTAGCATAGCGTATTGCAGCCCAGAACTCCTGGGCTCAAGCAATCCTCCCACCTCAGCCTCCCAAGTAGCTGGAACCACAGGAACATGCCACCATGCCTGGCACAAATGCATAGAAATAGATCTGAAAGGGTACAACCCAAACATTATAGAAGTTACCCCTGGGAAGAGCTCTAGGTTAAGGACTGGTGTGAAAAAGGTGAGCAAGGAGAGAAGGCAGAAAGGGAGGAACTAAATTCTTCTGATGCATTCTTTTCAAATGGAAAATACAAGGAGTTTTCAAAAAGGTAGGATGGCAGGGTACTGTGGCTCATGCCTGTAATCCCAGCACTTTGGGAGGCCAAGGTGGGCGGATCACCTGAGGTCAGGAGTTCAAGACCAGCCTGGTCAACATGGTGAAACCCTGTCTCTACTAAAATACAAAAGTTAGCTGGGCATGGTGGCACGTGCCTATAATCCCAGCTATTCAGGAGGCTGAAACAGGAGAATCGCTTGAACCCAGGAGGTGGATATTGCAGTGAGCTGAGCTCACACCACTGCACTCCAGCCTAGGCGACAGAGCAAGACTCCGTTTCAAAAAAAAAAAAAAAAAAAAAAAAAAAAGTTAATGGAAAATGCATATTATGAAAAAACTATGCATGTTTCTTCAGATTTTTTTCTGCACTAAAAGAAATTTGTACTAACTTCTTAGAACATGTCTGAAGAGGAGCTAGTTTGAGGCACTAAGAAGAATAAGATATCAGTTTGAAAAGAGGTCCCACTAGAGCAACATGAATTCTGCTAAAATTGAACCAAGAACAAACATCAAATATATGGTGAAGCTTGGGTGGAAGAATGGTGAAATCACTGATGCCTTATGAAAAGGAAAAGACAATATTGAAGATGAAAACCACAGGGGCAGAGCATCCACATTGAGGAAAAAAATACATCTTGTTTAAGCCCTAATTGACAAGGACTAAGATTAACAGCAGAAGCAATAGCCAATACCATAGATATCTCAATTAGTCTGACTTACAGAATTCTGACTGAAAAATTAAAGTTGAGCAAACGTTCCACTCAATGGTTGCCAAAACAGTTGTGCCCAGATCAGCTGCAGAGAAGGGTAGAACTGCCCATGGAAATTTTAAACTAGTGGGATCAACATCCTGAAGGATTTCTTTGGAGAATTTTAACACGAGATGAAACATGATTTTACCACTCTGATCCTGAAGACAAAGCCCAACCAAAGCAATGGCTACCAAGAGGGGCTGTGGTCCAGTCAGAGCAAAAGTGGACCAGTTGAGAGCAAAGGTCATGGCAACGTTTGTTGGGGATGCTCAAGGCATTTTGTTTGTTAACTTTCTAGAGGGCCAAAGAATGAAAATATCTGCTTATGATGAGAGTGTTTTGAGAGAGTTAGCCACAGCTTTTGTAGAAAAATGCCTGGGAAACGTCACCAGAGAGTCCTTCTCCTCCATGACAACGTGCCCGCTCATTCTTCTCATCAAACAAGGGCAATTTTGCAAGAATTTTGATGAGAAATCACTAGGCAGCCACCTTACAGTTCTCATGGTGGCTCCTTCTGACTTCTTTCTGTTTCCTAATCTTAAAAAATCTGTACACGGCACCCATTTTTCTTCAGTTAATAGTGTAAATAAGATCGCATTGACATGGGTACATTCTCAGGACCCTCAGTTCTTCGGGGACGGACTAAATGGCTGATGTCTTACAAAAATGTCTTGACCTTGATGGCAATCATGTTGAGAAAGTTTATGTTTTAAATTTTTATCTTTTAATTCCATTTTTCCATGAACTGGTTGAAGTCCCCTCATATGTACATGTGTTACAACATAACGCTAAGAGATATCATAATAATATGGTTGGCAGTATTGTTCCTGGTTTTAAAAGGCCTATTAAAAACACACTCTTTTTCTCAAATTCACACAGAAACACACACACACACACACACACACAAATGGTAGAAATCTCACTTCACTGCCAAATTTAAATATACTTTAACTACTTACCCAGGAGGAAGAGGTTTAAGTATTCATTGCCTCCTAAATTAACAGAATTCAAGGAAAAGGAGTAGAATCCCAAACTTCCCGTGAACCAAATTAGCCAAACGGTAAGCGTCCTTGTCGCAATGTTCCAGTTATAAAACAGATGTGATAGGCTGTGCTTCTGAACTTCAGTAGGGCTATTACCAACAGGACCTTGTAGGTCCAGTGATAAAAATTCCGACAGTTTACAGGAGCTTGTCCTGTTCCACTTGGCCATGATGTCAACTATTTTTTGTGCTTCTTCATATCGTCCCTCTGAGAGAAGCCAAAAAGGTGTCTCTGGGAGCACCCAACAGCACAAAATAAAGGGGACAGTCACTGTGGAGAGGATCATCTGGTAAAGCCACCAGGTCCTGACCAAGTATCCTGTCAAAGCCACCAGGAGAGTTCCAACTGCAAAAAAAGAATGCAAATGGACAGACGCCCATGTCCGAGACTTCATGCCAATGAATTCCATCACATAGACAAACCCCACCACGAGATAGCCACTTGCAACCTGAAAAACAAATAATAGGGATCTATATTCAAGATCACATTTATAACTATTGAGGAGTCTGACCCCATTGCAAATCACATATAGGCAAAAAGGAAAATGACAAAGACTTGCTTTCTGAAACCCCTATCAGATGTATAAAATGACATTCAATCCTATTTATCTTTTTTTTTTTCTTATAGGTCCTTTCATCTTCCTTCATCATACCTGCCCAAAATGGCAAAACTTTAGAGATTATTTATGATATAAATGTTAGACATTGCCTTTTGCTTCATCAAAATATTCCATTATAACGTGGATGTATTTCTCAGTTCCTTGTAAATGCACACATCAAGTTATCTGTATCCAGGAGGTCCTTATTGTTAAATCCTAATTGCTAAATGGAGACAAAAAATTTACGCTAACTAGTGGTAAGAAAAACAGATTTAATCAAAATTTTACTTTGACAGACAAAGAAAAGTAGACAAATTAGGCTTCATGAAAATTGAAACTGTGCATCAAAGAACACTATCAATGGAGTGAAAAGGCAACCTACAGAACTGGATAAGATACTTGCAAATCAAATATCCGATAAGGGATTTTATGGAGAACTCCTAAAACCCAACAACAACAACAAAAACACAAACAATGCAATTCAAAAATGGGCAAAGGCTTTGAATAGACATTTCAAATAGAAGAAATACAAATGTTTACCAATCATTGAGAAACACAAATCAAAGCTACAAAGAGATACCCCCTCATACCCATTAGGGTGGCTAATTAAAAAAAACAGCAACAACCAAAATAACACGTTTTAGCGGGAATGTAGAGAAACTGGAACACATGTGTAATGTGTGATAGAAATGTATAATGGTACAGCCTCTAGGAAAAACAATACGACAATTGCTTAAAAAACAATTACAGCATGATCCAGCAATTCCACCTTTGAGTATATATCCAAAGGAGGTGAAAGTGGGGTCTGGAAGAGATATTTGTACACACCTGCTCATAGCATTATTCACAACAGCTAAAGCGTGGAAGCAATGCCCCAAGTGTCTGTCCATAGATGAATATATAAGAAAAATGTAGTCTATGCATACAATGAATATTACGCTAAGTGAAATAAGCCAGTCACAAAAAGACAAAAATCGTATAAGTCCACTTTCATGAGGTATCAGAGTGGCCAAACTCATAGAGAAAGAATGTAGAATGGTGGTTGTCAGGGGCTAGGGAGACAGGGAACAGAGAGTTATTATTTAATGGACAGAGTTTCAGTTTTGCAAGACGAAAAGAGTTCTGAAGATGCACGGTGGTGATAATTGCACAACAGAATGAATGCACTTAATATCACTGAAATGTACACTTAAAAATGGTTACGATGGTAAATTTTGTGTTATGTGTACTTTACCACAAGAAAGAAAACTGGGGAAAAACTTTATTTTGAAAATATGCCTATCTTTAATAAAAATTAGATTACAATATGTGATTAGAATATAATATGTGACCATTCTTGGAATAAACAAAGAATGAGTCCAATGATGTTTTTTTGGGGAGGAGGGGGCTAAGAATTTTTTCTACAAAATTATTTCATATTTGACTTCTACAGCACAAATCATAAAGTTAATTTTTGTAAAATTATTCGAGAGCACCACTGATTTCCCCAAAGGCCTCTCTTAATCATTAGATATTTGAATCATACTCTTTCAAAGGCTCACTATGTGATTATCCTTGCAGATGTTAATTTCTTCAAAAGTTAACAGGTCTCTCTCTGCCAAATCCCAACTGGCCAAATCTTGTGGGCATGATTCAGGCAGTGTTCCCATGTCCCCTCATTGCTTTTAAAGACTTTTTATAAACACATGTCCCTTGTAATAACTGCAATTTCGCCTTGCATCAGACAGTCACAAAGAGGCGGCCTACAAGAATATTCCTACTGTCAGAAAGGGTTGACACTAGCAGGAGGCAGGGAGGTGCTCGATGAGTACTACTGTATTCATAATCAGTTTAATATTTTTGTGACAACAGCTTTTATTTCCCTGTGCAACTTTGTAATGGCAAGACTCAGATCATCAGGACCCTATATCCAAGAATCCAGAAGTCGCTTTTGGTAAGTGCTGCTGTTACACTAAACAAAGATTGTGATAACTTTCAAATACTACAAATTTCCCAGTTAAATTAAGCTGTAATATTTGTCCCTGTCAGGTTTTTCAATGCTGATTATTTCTCATGAGTCAGCTACAACTTCCTCTGTCATTGGATTCAGAAAATCCATATACAACTAACTCCAAAACACTGTGAATCCACTCACACCCATCCCTTCCACCGATAATACTCTACTCCTCACATCTTCTCAGACTCCACCCCATCATAGCAGCCAGAATTCCCAGAATCCCCTTTGTGGATTGCCATTGCCTTTAGGAGATAGAGCAAAATCCTGATAATCCTACAAAGCCCCACCTAACCGCCTTGACCCCTTCAACCTCATCAACGCGTCTCTCCTCCTCTCTATTCTCCAGACATTCTGGCTTTTCTTTCTAATCTCAGGGCCCTTTCATCTGCTTCTATCTTTGCTGGAATGTTCTTCTCTCACCCATCTCTCACAACAAGGAAGCCCTTGACCCTCCAGACCCTGGTGAACCCTCCAGACCCACTGCTGTTATGCCCTCACTGTCAACATTTTATTTATTTTTGAAGATGGCTGATCAATGTCTTGCCTTTCCTACTAGACTTACTGAGACAGCTGAGTCTGGTTTACTTAGCATTACACTCTGTAGACAGATCAGTAAATGCGTTAAGTAATTGAATCTGCCTGCATCTCCCATCCTCAGAATTCTACCACAAATCCACTTCCCATGAACATCAAAGGAAATAGTCACAGAAAATTAAGGCCACATTTCACAGATGTATTCTGTGGGTGTGGCCTTGTTTCCTTGGGTCTGGAAACCAACACATGGTATTTTGCAAGACTGAAACAGATATTTTCAGAAATATCCTCTTAAGTCTTCCAAAAGACGACCTTTATACTTTCTCAGTACCTATGCCTTTGTGGAACCTTCAGTCCCACCAGAAGGTTTCTCTCATGAAATCTCACTGTACAGTCACAGAGTTATGTCCTCTGTGGAAACAGAACTACTGGTTGCTATCTTGTATTTAAAACTCTTTACATTCCTAAATATATGTATTTATTTTTGATGAGGTACAACACCTTCTAGTCTCCTAGATTTATTTTTATGCATTTTCCTTATCCTTGGCCATCTGTACGGTTTGCTAGAAACCCTTTCTATCCATCAAAAAAGACTCCAAAACTGACACCCCATCTTGTTCTCTGAGGGGGTGCAGAGAGATTGAAGCCCTTCGCTTCTCTCTGGACCCTCAGACCATCCAACCTGCTGCTCTGCGTTTAGCAAGATCACAAGCTCCTCCTCCAGATGGAAACTTCCCTCTATTATCCTAGATCAGTGATTTCCAACCGAAAATCACTGCTGCTGTTGTTTGATAGTTAGAAATCTATCTGGAAGCCTCACTGAGCATGGAAACAGCTTCCTTGCTGGCCAGTCCATTTCTAGTAACAGTTACCATTGTAACCAGGTGCTGTACTGTGGTTGTTTATAATTAATCTCTCTAAATCCTAAGAAGAATAATAATAACATGGACAGTTTACAGACTACAACCTAAGGTTCAAAGAGGATAATGAGTGTGCTCAAAGTCATACAATTAATAAGCCAATATATGACAAAGCTGGTATTCAATCTCAAGCCCTTTCCACTAAACTGTTCTTGGTAACATAAGGAACTAATGCCTTCCTGTTTTCATTCTTCCTGTACATTATATAAGTGACTTTAACCACACACCTTAAGTGTCTGTTTGCTCAAGTGAACAGGCCCTGACTAGACCAATATAATTACTCAGAAATAAAATAATGCCTCAGTAATTGTGAGATGTGGACCACATGCCTGACACAGAGGCAAACACACTTCTGCCTAGCCAGCAACAATTTTTCACTTTAATGAGTTCCATTCTAAACATAAGGCATTGGTATACTGTAGACAGATTTCTGCAGTGGAGTGGACAAAGATTAGTCCTTGATCTCGCTCACTAGATCTTAAATGAGCAAAATGAAGAGAGCTAAGATTTCCTATGAAAATTCTGCAGCAGAATTAAAGAGGTAAAAAACACAACTCACCATGGCAAGAAAAAAGCGTGCAGCCATGAAGGTGTAATAATCAACTGCAAACGCCGCTGCTATTCCAAACAAAAACATGCCACTGCTTGTGGCCCATAAGACCACCCGGCGTCCTAGCCTGAAAAATAAGAGTCACACAGTGGAAGAGGCAAGGTAGAGTTGTAACAGTTTAAACATCCACTCCAATTCATAAAAGATAGGCTTACCCATATACCTTGAATAGCTTATGTATTGATTGTTTTTCTTTTATTTATTTTGAGCAAAACATAAGTTCCATGGCTTCTTTAAAAAAACAGCTGTTCAGTGGAGAGACCTCTACCTGAGTTGCTAATATACATACCTGATCACTCTGAGTCATCCCCGCAGGACCCCTTAACCTGGGATTGGGTGAAGAGAGAGGAGAATTTGTCCTCTCCCTTCCAGGACTTTGGCTGCCTGTGGGATTATCTTCCCCGCCAGGCTGGTTCTGTCCACCAAGGCTATGACAGCTCTTGCCAAGCCCCTCTAAAAACAGAGGACTTCCTACCTTCTGCTTCTAGAATAATGTGCTTACTTGCCCTATCTTTTCATAATTGATAGAGGCATCTCTTTGTTTAAAAAACAAATACTATTTCTGGCAGATTTTAAAATTGTGTTATAATTCAAATGCCATAAAATTCAACCTTTTAAAGTAGACAATTGGTGGTTTTTAGTGTATTTGCAAGGTTGTGCAACCATCATCACTCTTTAATTCCAGGATACATTCATCACTCCCAAAAGAAACTCTGTGCCCAGGAGCTGCCACTCCCTATTCCCTTCTCCCTCCAGTCCCTGAAAACCACTCATCTACCTTCTGTCTCCATAGATTTGTCTGTTCTGGACATTTCCCATAAATAGAGTCAAACAGTATGTGGCCTTTTGTGGCTGGCTTCTTTTCCCTAGCATTAGGGTTTCCAGCTTCATCTGTGTTGTAGCATGTATCAGCACTTCATTCCTTTTTTCTCTCTGAGTAGCACCATTATGTATTGGCATAGATATGCCACATTTATGTATTCATCAGTTGATCGCTCATTTTCCTCTTCTTGGCTATTACGAATAATGCTGCTCTGAACATTTATGAACAAGATTTTGTTTGAACTTATGTTATCAATTCTTTTGGGTATATACCTAGTAGTTAAATTCCTACTACTCTTTATGGTAGTCATATGGTAACTCTATACGTAACATTTTGAGGCACTGCCAAACTGATTTTCAAGATGGTCACCCCATTTTTCCATTCCCACCAGCAATGTATGAGCGTTTCAATCTGTCTGCATTCTCCCCACTACTTGTTATTATCTGCCTTTTTTATTATAGCCATCCCAGTGGCTGTGAAGTAGTATCTGATTGTGGTTTTTATTTACAATTTCCTAGTGATTAATGATGTTGAGCATCTTTTCAAGTACGTATTGGCTATTTGCATATATTCTTTAGAGAAATGTTTATCCAAATTCTTTGCCCATTTTTGAATTAGTCTGTTGCTTTTTTAATATTGAGTTGTAAGGCTCTTTATATATTCTGGATACTAGGCCCTTATCAGATATATAATTTGTGAATATTTTCCACCTATAGGTTGTCTCCGACAAATAGTTTAAGGCAAAAGGGTATTGTCTGGAGATTACAACCAACAGATTTGCTTGGTGCAGCAGAGGATATGCAAATAAACAAGAAACCGTCATCTTCTTCACACTTCAGCCTTCTTTGCTTCTTTGCACATTAGTGGGGATTATTGGCCCTATATATGAATGTTCCCCAATCCAATTTTAGCCCTGAGTGCCACCTACAACTATTTTTACCTATCACTGCTTGACCTTCTCTCCCACCTCCAATGTCTTCTCTCTCAGTAGATGAATGGCCATCTCCTGCAGAGAACAGAAACCATCAAAGAGGAAGCCCCACAACTTCCTGCTCTGTCCACTTGTCAACACGAACTGCATTTGCATTCAGCTTTCTCTTCCTGCCTCTCTGAAGACACATGCCCCTTTCTCTCCAAATATCATTTTGCAGTCTCTGTATTGGATTGTGCCTCTTCCCACTTCCTCTGAAACCCATCACTTCTTTTTCCTTTGTTTTTCCCTCTCCTTTGACTTCTTCTGTTCAGTTTTCATTGCCTCCAACCAAAGACAAGAATCTTCTCTTGACTCCATTGCTCCTTTAGCCACCTTGCATTTCCTCCCTTAACAGATTCATCGGAAGGGAATATTTCTTTCCTCAACTCCTACTTCTTTCCTTAGCCAATGATGACCAAGTGCAACCAGCTTCTCTGAGCTCACTTTGCAGTCACCAGGGACCTGCACATTGCCTCTGCTGGTCCTTTCTGGCTGTCCTCTCTAGTGCCACTGACCGTGCCTACCCTTGGCTTGCGAAATATCCCGCTCATCTGGTTCCGCTTGTACCTCCTTGATGACCCGCCTGCCTCAATGCTGGCACTCCCTAAAGTCCTCTGCTGCACACTCTGCCCTTGCAATTTCATCCACTTCCCTGGCTTGGATTCCTAAGTATGGGCTATTAACTCCCCACCCACCATCTGGCCCCAGTTGCTCTTCTCCACTTTAATGTCCTGCAGGGCTGCAATCTCTTATTGCTGTTTTAATTGGTATTAACTTTGGAATATATCCAAACGTGTTCCCTTCTCTTCTAAAGCTGCTCTTTCCTTAGTATTTCCTGAACTGGTTAGCAAAATCCCCTTCCATCAGGCTTCTAAACCTTAGTACATTCCTCCGCACCCTCCTGCATATTGGTCATCAAATTTTGTCAGTTTAGAAATGCCTCCCAAATATGTCTTCATCTTTTCCTCCCTGTTTTTCCCATTTTCACTCAAGTCTTCACCATTTCTTACATAATTCATCCCAACAGCCTCCCAGCTGGTCTTCCTAACCTCACACCAGTATACCTCCCACACTTCCTAGAAATGAAATAATCCCCATTGTGGTTTTGTCTCTTGTCATTTCCTTTAACAATCTGCCCTTCTCTACTTCTGCCACACTGACTTTCCCACAATTCTCTGAACATGCCAGGTTGTTTCATGACACAAAGCTGTTCCTTTCCCTTGGGGGCCTTCTCTATCTGACAACTTCCATTGATCATCCCTTGGGGTCTCATAGCAGAAATTCAGAAACAGTGTGATGCAGTAGTTGGGGATGCTGGCCTGGGCTCAAATCCCAGCTCCATCCCTTATTTTCCATGTGAACTTTCTATGCTTCCTTTTCCTTATTGGTTAAAAAAAGGGAGGGGGACAATAGTGTCTATCTCTCAGACTTCTTTAAATAATTAAATGAGATGATATATAAGACATTTAGAATAGTACCTAGTGTATAATAAAGTGTTCATAAATGTGAGTTTTTTATTATTTTAAAAGCATTTACTGGCTGGGCACCATGGCTCATGCCTATAATCCCAGCAATTTGGGAGGCCAAGGCAGGCAGATGACTTGAGGTCAGGAGTTCAAGACCAGCCTAGCCAACATGGTGAAACCCCTATTCTACTAAAAATACAAAAATTAGCCAGGCATGGTGGCACATGCCTGTAGTCCCAGCTACTCGGCAGGCTGGGGCAGGAGGATCACTCAAATATGAGAGGCAGAGATTGCAGTAATCCAAGATCACACCACTGCACACCAGCCTGGGTAACAGAGCTAGACTCCTTCTCAAAAAGAAAAGAAAAAGAAAAAGAACAAGAAAAGCATTTACTACATTTCATTGAAATTATCTGTTTAAAAGTCTATATTCTCCACTGTTAGTGCCTTAAGGGTGGGATCAGATCTTATTTCTTTGCTTTTTTATGATAATATTTTATACATATATAACAATGCATAAAATATATACAACTTCAAGAATAATAAAAAGTCAAATGTCTAGAAATCACAACCCAAGGCAAGAAAGAGATGATTGCCAGCCTCCTGATAACTTCCTGCAACTCTCTTGTGACTACAAATCCCCTTCCCCTTTCTAGGAGGAAACATTTTTCTAATTTTGGTGACAATCTCTTGTTTTTTGTTTCATTTTACAAACTTTATAAGCAATGCTAAACAATACAGGTTACTGTTTATAAACAGTATAGGTTAGTTTTGCTATTATGATTTTAAATTTTCTATAACAGGATAATACCACATGTATTATTTTGTGACTTGCTTCCTTTACCAAACATTATGTATAGGAGATTCATCTATGTTGTTTCATGTAGCTGTGGCTCATTCATTTTTATGCCTACATATCCTACTGTAAGAATATATTATAATACATGTGTCCATGAGATGACTGAAGGGCATCTGGGTTGTTCAGAGTGCAGGGCTGTTAGGAACAATGCTGTGGGAGCACTTTTATGCATGTATCTCTGTGGACTTGTGCAAGAGCATGCTCAGGGTATATGCCCCAGAGCATGTGCCTGTGCACATCAACAACTCTATATGATAACAAATCAGTCTTCAAGGTTAACCCAACTTGGATTCTTAATTTGCATTCACACCAGCAGGATGAGAGATCCTATTACTCCATGTCCTCGCCAACACTTAGCATTACAAGACTTTTGACTTCTGACAACTGGTCAAAAGTAAATGGTGTGATTATATATCACTGACAGTTCATCTTTTCATTAGCCATTGGATTTTCTTTTCTATGAAGTGATTTAAAATATTTTTCCCACTTTTCTATTGGGTTGTCTTTTTCCCATTGATGTAAGCAACAATCCTTTGATTATTCTGGACACTAATAATTTAGTTATATGTAAAGCAAATATTTTCTCTCTCTTGTATGTACACATTCATATCTTCCCTCTTTTAATGGTGTCTTTTGGTGGGCAAAAATTCTTGTAATGAAGTCAAATTTATCCATCTTTTCTTTCATAGTCAATGCTTTTTGTGTTTTAAAAAATCAGCCTTCCTTCCATTATGTTCTGAAAATATTCTCCTAAACTATTTTCCTAAAGTTGTATAGTTTTGCTTTTCCACATATGCACATTTAGTCCTTCTGGAACTGCTATTGTACTGTAAAATGTTAGAAAATGAATCCAATTGTATTTCCTTCTATATGGCTAGACATCTGTGCCAGCACCACTTACTGATTGATCCTTTTCCTGCTAATATACAATGCCTTATGTGTCTATACTTAGGTTTATGAATGCACAAGTCTATTCCAGGAGCCTCTGAAGGAGTCTCAATCTGTTTGTCTAGTGATATATCTATTTACTTCAATGATTTGATTCTTAAAGTTTATAATTTTCTCCACAGAGGGCCTTCCTCACTTTTTGTTATATTTAACCATTTATATTTCATATTTTTAGGCTTCTGCAATGACATTTTAAAAAATTTTATTTGTTACTGGTATATAGAAATATAATTAATTTTAAATGCTCATTAATTCTAACAACTCATATGTAGGACTTTTTCATACAAAATTGTAATGACTACAAATAATGACTTTCTATTTCTCCTTCCCAATCATTATTCCTTCCTTGCTTCCTTTCCTTCTCCCTCTTTCTCTCTCTTTTTCCTTATAGCACTGGCTAGACTATCCAGTACAATGCTAAGTAGAAGACGTATTTCATACATCCTTGTCTGTTCCTAATTTCAAAGGAAAAGTTTTTAACATTTCAGAATTAAGAGCTGGGTGCAGTGGTGCATGCCTGTAATCCCATCTATTTGGGAGGGCTGAGGCAGGAGAATTGTTTGAGCCCAGGAGTTCAAGAACAGCCTTGGCAACATAGCAAAACCCTGTCCTAAAATTAAAAAAAAAAAAAAAAAAAAAAGAAAGAAAAAAGAAATTAATATTTTAAACTTCACAATTAGCATATTCATGGTAAACCTTAATGTAGAAAACTTTCATCAGGTTAAAGGCATTCTTCGACTTTCAGTTTTTATCATGAATGGATTTTGAAATTCATCAAATGTTTTTCCTATAAGTATTGAGTTGATCGTATGAATTTTGTTCTCTAATATGTTAATGTGGTAAACACCATTGATTAGTTTCTAATATTAAATAAATTTCAGATCTTTTCCCTTTTCAGCCTCCATGAATTTTAATCTCTCATATTTCCCACCTCTTTGTCTCTCTGAGCTTTAATATTGATAACTTTTTCTGAGTTATCATCCATTTCATGAATTTTTTTGTAGCTGTGCATGACAGGTTGTTAAAACTATCCAGGTGATTTATTATTCACCTATTTCACTTTTTATCTGTAGATGTCCTAGGTATTCTTCAATTTTATGTCAGTTTTAATATAATGTCCAGTTTTCATCAATATTTTTAAGCTTGTCTTCTATTTCTTTAAAAATAGTAAGTGTGGTTATTTTATTATTTATGCCTGATAATTCTAGCATTTGAAGTCTTTGTGCAGAACTCTGCTTCTGCCGCCAATTGTTTCTGCTGATTCTCACTCATGGTCCCTTTTAACCATGTGTTTTGGTTTTCACTGAGCTACTTATTCACCTTGAAAAATAATTTACGAGAATCCTCTCAAGCCCAAGATGACGGTAAACAAAGAGTATTAAATTTTATTTTACTCTAAGTTAATACATTAATCTGTACTGTTTAAGGGCTGCTGGCAAAAACACAAGATGGTTGGGTCAGAAACAAAGAACTTCAGTACTTACTTCATTAGCAAGCAGCAGGGCAGCAGCATCTTTGTCTCAGTTCCTCTAATCCCCAAGTCCCACAATAAACCAGATGACACTTCACAGATAGTGGGTTGAATTAGAGAGGGGGAACACTGCATGTGGGGAATTCACTGGTTTTGTAGCAAGCAGTGAGGAAGCCTACTCTTTGGGGCAGAGAGGGGACATTATCTCATCATATCAGTTAATTTTATGTTGCTATAAAAGAACACCTGATATTGGATAATTTGTAAAGAAAAGAGGTTTATTTAGCTCATAGTTCTGCAGGCTGGGAAGATCAAGGGTACTGGCTTCCTGCAAGGGCTTTCATGCTACATCACAACATGGCAGAGAAGGTCAAAGGTAAAGCAGACACACGTAAACAGGGAGAAACCTGAGGGGCGTCCTCACTTTAAAACAATCCACTCTTGCAGGAACTAATCAATTCCTGTGAGAATTAATCCAGTCTTGTGACAGCCAGAACTCATTCACTCACTGCCATGAGAACAGCACCAATTCATTCATGAGGGATTCGCCCCATAGCCCAAACACCTCCCACTAGGCCTCACCTCCCAACACCGCCACACTGGGGATCACATTTCAACATGAGCCTTGGTGGGAACAGACAAACCATGTCTAAACCATAGCACTCATCTTTTAACGTACTGGCTGCATAGACAGCTCTGAGAAATGACCCACAGAAAAAAGTGGTCAGGGACTTGCCATCTTGGCACATCCAGCAAGAAGTGCAGAAGACTACAAGAGGTGCAAGAGGCTGTCTCTTTCAACAAGTTCCGCTGAGAGAATACAGACACTGGGAGTCATGGACCATGTCAAACCAATTTTTTAGCTTACGGTTTTTCTGGAGCTCCCAAGTCATTCGAATTCAAGCTACACATCCAAATGAATACCAGTTAACGGTTTGCAAATTCTCAAGGACTTTTAAAAATATACGTCGTGGCTGCTCTGCCTATGGAGTGGCCCTTCTTTATTCCTTTACTTTCTTAATAAACTTGCTTTCATATATATATTATATACATATATTTCAGTGAAATATATATTTTATATATAAATTTTATGTATAATTTTACATATAAATATATATTTTATATATATTTCACTGAAATATATGTTATATATATTTATATATAATAATATATATTTAATATTATTATTAAATAATAATAATAAATAATATATATTTACTTATATATTACATATATTTCAGTGTAATATATATGTATTTATATATTACATATATTTCAGTGAAATATATATAATTTCACTAATATATTTTTATTTATTTATATATTATTATACATATATACATCTCTGCATCTATCAAAGTGATTGTAAGTGTTCAATATATGTCTATATAACTATACCAAGTTCAGACAAAGGAACTAAATTTATTTTCAGTTAATGTATTTTGTACTCTGGCCTTGTTATAAGCATTATTTATATTCCATTTTTGTCATACAGCAAATGTATTTTAGTACATTTCATACATGTAGTTGCAAATATTTTGAGTTTCAAGAGTCAAGCAGTGAACACATTTCTACAGAAAAGGCCCAAGAGATAATTTGTGTAACAGCTTGCTGAATGAAAACACTAATACCTAGTACCTTTGAACATACTATGAGCGGTATGGTCCTGCCCATGACAAAGCCCTATGATTTTTCTTTTGACATGTTTATCAGCCCCATTAGACTGGTATATCTCAAGAGCAGGGATTTCTGATCTAAGCTGTTGTCTTTAGGTACTCAATGCCCACCACATGCTTGTAAAATCCACAACTATGGGCCGGGCGCGGTGGCTCAAGCCTGTAATCCCAGCACTTTGGGAGGCCGAGACGGGTGGATCACGAGGTCAGGAGATCGAGACCATCCTGGCTAACACGGTGAAACCCCGTCTCTACTAAGAAATACAAAAAACTAGCCGGGCGAGGTGGCGGGCGCCTGTAGTCCCAGCTACTCGGGAGGCTGAGGCCGGAGAATGGCGTGAACCCGGGAGGCGGAGCTTGCAGTGAGCTGAGATCTGGCCACTGCACTCCAGCCTGGGCTACAGAGCGAGACTCCGTCTCAAAAAAAAAAAAAAAAAAAAAAAAATCCACAACTATGGAGACCCAATAAGTTCATCTCTGTGCTTTGGTGTAGTCCATGTTCATACAGCAATAAAAACTTTGTTTATTTTAAGAATTACATATTCATTTTAATGTAAATTTTAAAAATATATGGCCAGGTTATGCTTTGAATGATAGTATTCCCTCCAAAATTCATGTTGAAACTTAATCTCCAGTGCAAGAGTATTAAGAGGGGTGGCTTTCAGAGGTGATTAAGTCGCGACAGCAGAGCCCTTAGCAGCTTTACTAAAGGGCTCAAGGTCAAAGGGAGCACTCTCTTGCCCTTCCACCCCTTCTTCCATGTGAGGACACCGCATTTATCCCCTCCAGAGGATGCAGCAATAAGGTATCATCTTGAAAGCAAACAACAGCCTTCCCAGACAGCAATACTACTGGCACCTTATTTTGGGCTTCCCAACTGCCAGAACTATGAGAAATAAATTTCTATTGTTTGTAAATTACCCAGTCTGTGGTATTTTGTTACAGCAGCACAAAAAGACTAAAAGAGGCTGTTATATGTATTTTGTACTCTGACCTTGTTATAAGCATTATTTATATTCCATTTGTCATACAGCAAATGTATCAAGCCCATAATTTTACAGATATACTGCTTAGAATCAGGCTACTCCTATTAAAAAGTAAGTCTATTTAAAGAGAAGAAAATATTCAAAGTATCTATTGAATGGTTATATGCCCAGGGTACTTTTGTTCTGTATTAACTTTGCAATAATCCTTTGAAGTAAGTGATAATATTTTTTATCACCAGCTAATAGACAAAGATTCTGAAATGCAGGTAAGTTAGGCAATTTGCCTAGGGTTCACAGTTAATAATTGGTAGAACCAGGATTTGGATCCAGGTATACTGTCTTCAGAGCCTATCCTTGTCATTATACATCCCTAAATAATGGATCAGCATAGAGGTAGGTATTTAGACAGGAAGTATAAAAATGACAAGTTTTAAACATAATTCCTTGTCTCCCAAGAAAACCAGATAGGAAAATAAACCCTACACTAATGCAACAATCCTAAATATTTGATTTTACCTGTCAGAAAAGTAGCCAAAAGTCACCGATCCCAGTAGGACTCCAAACATAAATAGGGGCTGGATCAGCATTGCGAGCCATTTTCGGTCACAGACCAGGTTCCACTGGGTCACCGCAGTGCTTTTCCACGTGTTCTGGTCATATATGTAGCCATCCACACAAGGAGACTCTTTCTTACTGCCAGTGTATTCATAGTCCAAACTTGATGTGTTCTCCCTCTTGTTCCTGCTACACCTCGAGAGCTCCCAGATCTCACCATTCTGCAACTGCACCATAACATAATCTTTCTGGCCTGAAGACAACAGGGCCCTGGTGTCCTCCAAACTCCAATTAGAGTGATTGTGGAAAACAACCAGACTCACATTGCCCGGGGGCCTGCAGACATGACGAGGGGTGACTCCCATGAACACGGAAGCCAAGTAGTGAATACCACAAGAGATGTTCTGGAAGGCACATATGAAATAGAGGACTCTCTGGAATCTGCAAGAGAAGAAAAGCTAATTATTATATCTGGTCTATAGGCTGAAAAGGAACATAAGCAAATTCGAAGGGTCTCCACCATGTTTATCTTAACATATATGTAAATGGATAAATATAGAAATAATTATAGATATATTTGTATCTGTGAGTTAGTATATATACATATATTACCTAGCTCCATCTACTGAGAAGGCCTAGAAGCAATGACATCCCAATAGCAACAAGCACACCCATTGCCCAGATCTTAGTTTCTAAATACCATTCTCCAGTGAGAGAAGCCAGAAAAAGTGGCTGATTCTAAAGCCAGGACAAGAAGAATACAAATTAAGCCTGGAATATCTTATAATACCAGAAAGTAAGGAAATACTCAAAAAACAAAAGGATAAGGGCATATGAAAGGGGCCCAGGTAGCAATCTGAAAAAGTTCCCAATGGTCAGTTGCAAGCTGAAACAATTTAAGCAACAACATAAATGGCATAGTATATCCCAAAGCATAAAATAAATATATATGAATCCATACTGTGTGGTTAATTTTATGTGTTAACTTGACTGGGTTAAGGGAAGCCCAGATAGCTGGCAAAACATTATTTCTGGGTGTGTCTGCGAGAGTATCTCTGGAAGAGATTAGCAGACTAGTAGACTGAGTAGAGAATATCACCCTCACCAATTGAGGTGGGCATCCTCCAATCACTTGAGTGCTTCAATAGAACAAAAAGGTGAAGGAAGAGCAAATTTGTTCTCTGCTTGAGCTGGGACATCCATATTCTCCAGCTCTCAAACATCAGAGCTCCCGGTTCTTGGACTTTTGGAATTAGACCAAGGCTTACACAAGGCCTTCAGTCTGGGACTGAATTACACCACTAGGTTTCCTAGTTCTCCAGCTTGCAGATAGCAAGTCATGAGACTTCTTAGCCTTTATAACCATGTGAGCCAATTCCTATAATAAATCTCATATATATGTACGTATGTGTGGTGTTTGTGTGTGTGTGTATGTGTCTGTGTGTGTATCCTATTGGTTCTCTTTCTCTGGAGAAGCTTGACAAATACAATACACCATACTCATATAAATAAATGAATGAAAAAATAAAAGGGAGAGAGGAGATCAATCTTTCTTACATTAGAATTCAATTACTATCTATAGACATTCCTTCTTTCCTGGAAGTAGAGTTTAATTCCCGCAATTTACTCCTAGAGCGTGGGCTAGGCTTAGTGACTTGTTTCTAAAAAACAAAGCAGGAAAAGAGGAAAAATAGTAACTTTACAGTGGGGAAACCTAGAAACTTGGCAAACACTAATGTCACCAAGTGATGAAGGTTAACATCCCCAGTGACGTCATGTGGATATGCTGTATCCCTGCTATGATCTGATGAGAAGGGCACTTCATCTCTGTTGTTTTCTTTCCAAAAACCATAACCCTAGTTTAATAATTTAAAAAAGACCCCAGATTGGGAGTCATCTATAGGTTACCTGGCCAATATACCTAAAGACTGTCAAAGTCATAAAAAATAAAGAAAGATTGAGAAACTGCTATAGACAATTAAATGTAGTGTGGTGCTCTGGGACCGGATCCTGGAACAGGAAGAGGACACTTGGAAAAACTGGTGGAATTCAAATGAAGCATATAGTTAGTTAATAGTAATGTATTAATATTAGTTTCTTAGTTTTGACAAATATGTTATGGTAATGTAAGATGTTAACAATAGGGGAAACTGGGTGAGGGTCATATGGGGATGCTGTACTATCTGTGTAACTTTTCCATAAATCTAAAATGATCAAAAAATAAAAAGTTTATTTAAAAATTTTTAAAAATACAGTCTCCAAATGTATAGACTCAAACCAACAGCGACATATTTTCTGAAATAAAAAATTGCCTCATAAGGACAATTATGCCCACAGGACAACAGGATAGAACAGATAAAATTTGGATTACCCCACAAAATTCCAACCCCTGAAATTAAGAAGCATAGCAGACCTTTGAACAGGTAACTTAATTATTTAGATTGAAAACGGAATCAGTTCAGGCAATCACCAACATTCCCATAAAACCATTAAAATAGAAGGTAGGAGATAGGTCCTGTCAGATCAAACTGAGGTCAAATTGCACCACTGACACATGCAATCTCTATCACCCTTCTTCCTTTGCAGATCTGCCCACCCCACTGCATCCTGATGCTCCCTCTCACTGGAAGATGCTTCTGACTATCACTCAGCTCAGCAGTTCCCACACTTTTTGGTCTCAGGAGCCTCTATATTTTTACAAATTTTGAAGATTCCAAAAGGCCTTTCTTTATGTGGATCATATTTATCTCCATTTATGTATTAGAAATTAAAATGGAGAAGGAGAGGAGGAAAGAGAGCCAGGGTCTTCCAGGAAGCCCAAAGTTAGAAGCTGGGGCAGAGAAAAGGAAAACAGAAAGAATCTGGCACAGACTGACCCCTGAGGAGCCTGGAGTCTTACAGAAAGGGTAGATAGGTGTGCATCCCTTCTCACCTCACCCCCATAACAAACTGCTGAATACCAAATTGTGGGAGAGCTCCCTCTGCCTTCGTGACCCTGGGCAATGCTGTCAGTGGTGATTTGGGAACTTCCTGAGAATAGAATACCAGGTGACCAACTCAGGCAGGTGTGCTGGCACTCCCCTCAGGCCTGAACTGAGATGGTGGGCACCATACTGGTTGTGCACCTGTTCTGAGCCACTGCCCTGCTGAAGCAACCTCAGCCTTTGTGATGTTGTATCACCAGATACCCCAGAAACATACCCCACAATCACTCTGACTTTGGCAACCATGGGGGACTGGCAGGACCCGGAGAGCTGCAGGAACCCCAGAAATCTAGCCCTCAGTGCAGGTTGCTTCTAGGGGAGCAGGGAGCACAGCCCACCAAAGTGCTCCTTGGGACAAAGGAAATGCAGGCACAGCACCAATTTCTGAAAGGGGCAGTAGTAGTAGCTTGGAAGGGACATGGAGGGGGACTATTTCCTACTCCACCCATTCACTGTTGCAGATGCAGCAGAAGCTTTCCCTGCTGGGAGCTGGCACTCATGCAATTGAAGAAAGGCTTTCTAGCACTTTTCACAGTGGCTGCATCCCCACTGAAAGTGAGGTGGTACTGCCTCGTCTTTCAGAAAAAACAGGGCCCATCTCCCACTCCCTACACAAAGTAGCAATGTCCCTGCAATAGAGGACAGACAAGTCACAGAGCTGACTGTTCTGGACTGGGAAAAGAGGCTCTGACCCAAGGCCATTTTGGTGGTAGCCACAATAGAAACATTCTCACAGACCTCAGGAGTGGCCAGGAGCCAAAGGACAGTGTTTATATGAACTGAGGGTTACAAGTGCTGTGAAAGGGGCATGATAGGTAGTGGATCATGTTCCTGCCTGCCCAGGATGAGGAACTGGTGCAGCCCCCTGCTGGCCCCTACCCCTGAGACCTCAGCACACCCATCAAGGCAGGGGTTTCCACTCACCATCAGATGACCTGAGGGTGAGTTAGCTCTTCTTACCCTTAAGCGACACTTACTGGACTAGAGACTGAACTGCATCATCAAACAAAAAACCTGCTGTCAGAAGAGTGCAGTGCTAGTATGAGATAAGCTTCTTGAGACCTCCACACTCCTAGCCCTACAGAAGATACTGTGTCAGTTCATACACCCTACACATCACTACAACAAGCAGTATCTGGGAAAGCAACCACACAAATGATATCCATAACCAAGGAACCCATAGAGACCCTTGGTCCCCTGAAGCCCCCAGAAACAAAGCCAAACAATCATACACAATATATACTACAGCCACACCCTCAAGGGAAAAAAGAATACAAACTTTAAAAGTCTCATTCAAATGTTGGCAAATTAAAAAATAGGAAGCAACAGCTCAATATTTGTCCATTTTCACACTGTTGATAAAGACATACCAAGACTGGGCAATTTACAAAAGAAAGAGATTTATTCGACTTACAGTTCCACAAGGCTGGGGAGGTCTCACAATCATGGCAGAAGGCAAGGAGGAGCAAGTCACATCTTATGTGGATGACAGCAGGCAAAGAGAGAGTTTGTGCAGAGAAACTCCCATTTTTAAAACTATCAGATCTTGTGAGACATATTTACTATCATAAGAACAGCATGGGAAATACCTGCCCCCACGATTCAGTCATCTCCCACCATGTGCCTCCCACAACACGTGGGAATTATGGGAGTTAAAAGATGAGATTTAGGTGGAACACAGAACTAAACTATACCAAGCTCCTTCAGATGAGAAGGAATCAGCATAAAAACTCTGGCTATCCAAAAAGACAAAGTGTTTTGACACCTCCAAAGGATCACACTAGCTCTCTAGCAATGGATCCTGACTAAAATGAAAATTCTGAAATGATAGATAAAGGATTCAAAATATGGATTGTAAGAAAGCTTACTGAGATGCAAAAGAAAGTTGAAAATCAACCCCCAAAAACTTAGGATATGAAAGATAAAATAGATATATTAAACTTTAACTATAGTAAAAGACTAGACCAAGCAGAAAAGATAATTTCAGAGCTTGAAGACCACTCTTTCTGTTTAAACAAGTAAAACAAAAATACAGAAAAAAGAATTCTTTTAATGAACAAAGTCTTTGAGAAATATGCAATTATGTAAAGGGACCAAATGTATGACTTATATGTAATCTTGAGAGAGAAGAAGAAAAAGTAAGCAATTATATTTAAGAGAATAATTCAGGAAAATTTCCCTGATCTTGCTATAGAAGTAGACATTCAGATGCAAGAAATTCAGAGAATATCTGGGAGATGCTATAAAAGATGAATGTCACCAAGGCATATAGTCATCATACTATCCAAGTTTAATGCTAAAGAAAAAAATCTTAAAGGCATCTGGAGGGAAGCATCAGATCACCCATAAAAGAAATCCTATCAGACTAATGAGACTTCTCAGTGGAAATCTTACAAGCCAGAACAGATTAGGGGCCTAGGGGGCCTATTTTTAGCTTTCTTAAAGAGAAAAAAAAAA